TTCTATGATTCTATGAAATGCACCAGTGCTTGAGCAGCACGTGCAAGCCGTGCACCAGCGATGGAATCACAGCCCTGCTGCGGCTGCGCATCACCGCAAACACAGTCCCAGCATGAGCTGCTCCTTCCTCGCCCACCCCACACACCTTGTAATGCCGCTGACAGGAGAAAAGCCATACAGGTAACGGTAGGCAAGAGGGCACACTGACACAACCACCTAAGCAGGGTGTTGTCTCCAAGTTGTGCACTTTTGAGAACAATCCCATCCAGATTGCTTGGTCACTTTACCGGGAAGTGTTCCTCCACTTACAGCGAAGGAAGAGCTGGACTTGGAGCGCTGTGAAGTGTTCTGCCCCTTGAAAGGCCTGGGAAATCTTGTGCACTAAGGGCGAAATAATGGACACTAAGGACAATAACTTCCCAGCAATGGCTCCAGCTGCGTATAGCAGCATCTAAGAGCCTTTGAGGTCAGACAGTTCTTAACTGAGCCAACGGCTGAGCTGTCATCCAGCCAGCCACGTCCACGCAGTCACCCACAGAGCATGACGGTTTATGCCAACAGGCAATTTTGGAGAGATCACTGAACACCTTTCCACACTTGCTATAACCACAGCTACCTTTTCCTTCTCTCAATCGCCATCATCCCGATCTGAGAACAACCTTCCTGCAGGAGATCTAGGACCATGTGCATTACACCTTACAGAGCCGGCAGGCTGTGCAGGACTGAAAAGCATTGCTATTGGAAGACCCAGGGACTTACAGCAGCGTACGTCCTCCTCAGTGATCGACTTCTGCGTCTTCAAACTGCCCCGCAACGACTGGTGCTATGTCCACCTCCATCCCATCTGAAAGAAAACATCAGCCAAGGCTACGTAACGCTGCAAGCGACGTTCTCGTGTGACAGAGAGCGAGTGCCACCTGGCGACAAGGGACGGCCAGGACAGAAAACTCCTTTGCTGAACTTCTGAAAGCAGCCTGAGGAGACTGATGTGCTCCCAAGTTTGTGGTTTGGTTGCAGCTGTCAAGTCACTCAGACCTCCCCGCTTCCTACAACTTCGTCTCACCCTATCTTACTATAAACTTAAATACCGGATTTAAACTATTTCATTTTTTAAATGATGTTTTGGTGTAAAAAAATAGCATTGACTCCTTTCAGTAGCTTTAATGATGCTCTGACAGAAAGAGGCTGAATTCTGGTCTGAAACCGCCCTCAGGAGTTAAATTGAAAACAAGAACAATTGCTCTGCCAAAAAGTAACAGAATTCTGAAACTGAGCAGCCCTGGGGATAATAGTAATTGCAGCAAACCCAGAAGCAGTACCACAGCAAATATGATTAGTAAGGCTAATAAAATTGATGAAGATGGCCTTGAGACGCGACATACTCGCTGCTGTTCAATTTATTTTAATTTTCAAAATTTTGGGGTTCAGAATCCCAACACATGTTCAAACGAAGGGCACTGCTAAACCATGACTATATACCTACAGTTATCTTTATATAACATACATTTATTTGAAGTTGTGGAATAAAGAGAACCTGTAAACAACTGACCAAACAAGTAGATTAAAAACCATCCATGTGGATGAGAACAGATTTATTCTGTTAACTATTCCAGGCAAGCTGATAGCCAGAAATCCACAACAGCTGCATCATTTGTCATCCTTCAAAAATGTTAGGCTGTGCTAAAACACTGTGATTTATATAAATAAAAAAAAAACCCAAAGCAATACTACTGAAGTGTTTTCCTGCTCTTCTCCCAGGTAATACGTTGCTCCAGTGAAAAGAATATACAGAAGAGGCAGAATTTGAGATCGCTTTTTTCCCTTCGACAGAAAGAAACCTTATTCCTTAAACAGGTGTTTGAAAGATCAGTAGCATTAAGAGACAGCATCCTTCAGAAGAGCAGGGTTTCTTTTTTTAATCTTTTCCAGTGTATTTCAATGATTCTGAATTCACACTGAATTCTGCAAAGAGAACTATTAACTTACAATTTAGCGCATTTAAAAAACACCAACTTTTTACCTGTTTAGAGTGGAAATTTCTTTCTAATTCCACTGCAGACTGACAAATTCCATCTTTCCTTAATCCTAAATCAACCTCACCCTACCACTATCCCAGGAAATCATGCCAGCAAGAATCAAGGATTCTGAACAGCAGCCATCGATCCCCAGAGGGCAAAATGCTGCCCATAGCACCACAGGCATTTTTATAACCTGTGGTTGTGACTGTAAAACAGCTGCCGGTGCTGTGAAGGATCACCCACAGCACGATACCAGCTCAGTGCTGGTGTCTGTGGATTATCCAGACTGGAGAACCACTGCTTTCGTATACACTTCAGTAAAAGGAAAGCATTTCTTACCTTCAAATTCCCGGATGGAGTCTTCCGTTCTCACTCCAGCCATGTTGTACTGACTGCTGACGGACTGGGCCAACATGCCTTCTAACCGCTCCAGAGTGGCCTGACCTTCAGCAGTTAGGTGCGACAATCCTTCTTCATACGTGTAAAAGCTTGGGATGTCACCTTGTTGTAGCTCTGCAGAAACAAGTTTACGTGTATCAGAACTCATCTGAGGAGCCCGCATGCAGCAGGGGTGGAGGAACAGGACAACAGCTAGACAAACAATGCTCAGATTAACTAACATTAAAAGGCTGCTTACATGAGTTACTGAATATACGCCGTGATGGGAATTGCCCACACCACAGCAATGGTGCTGAATTTGCGCTAGCACATCCACTGGGAACAGGAAAGGCTGGTATTTGTGTCTTGGGGCTTTTGAGAATGAGAACAAAGTTTTTACTGAATTCCAGTGATTTGTGGTCACTAAACTGCAGATTTTTTTTCAGATTTCTGAGGTTTCATACCATGCCTGTGGCATAAAAAATGTTTTGGTGAGATGAGTAATGAACAAGGAACTTCTTAACAGACCAAATCATTCTCATGACAGTAGAAGTTCCAGGTATCCAAGTGCTGGTTCCAGTACCTGATAATGCTTTCAGTGAAGAAAAATTCCTTCACCAAAAGGGCTGTCAGGCATTGGAATCGGCTGCCCAGGGAGGTGGTGGAGTCACCATCCCAGGAGGGATTTAAGAGCCGTGTGGATGAGGTGTTGAGGGACATGGGTTAGTGGTGGGATGAGCAGTGTGGGGTTAACAGATGAACTCAAATGGTCTGGAAGGTCTTTTACCACCTAGAGACTCTGTGATTCTATGGTGGTATTTCAAAAGAAAACTCTTACAAACCGTGGGCCTCAACGTCGTACTCCTCCCCTTCATAATCGTTGTCTGAATCTTCGTCGTCTGGGTCTGGGTGCAGAGCTTGGCATTCACACATCGCTGAAAACATGGCTTCCACTGTAGAAACGAAACAGAATTATCTTCCGGGCAACCAGCAAGAAAAAAAAAAAGATGCTAATAGTTAACTTCCAGTCAGCAGCCATGAAACACAAGCAAAGTGTTTATTAAGGCAGGCATCTCCCAGTGGGGAAGCAGGTAACAGGCAGCACTGCCCACCAGCTGAGACCAGGCCTCCCAGGAACTATGCTTGTGCAGCTGGGCTCCCACCCCAGCTGGAAAAGGGCAACCTCAGCTAAGATGCTGTGAGAAAAGGCTCCTTTAGCTGTATCCTAACAGTTTCCCTATTTGTACTTGTCAAAAATCAAAAGGCAGCGCTTCAAGGTTAAGAAATTTAAGGAAACCAACTCTCCAGTCCTGCATAGACATGACCAGATACTGACAACACAGGGATACTAGAGGCAGCATTTCCCAAAATCTATGAGGGTAGTCAGGACTTGCAGAAATCGAGAAAAAACTCCTTCGTTTCTCTACCAATACCTCCTTGGATATCAGGAAGAAATCCTTCCCAGAGAGGGTGGGGAGGCACTGGGACAGGTTGCCCAGAGAAGCTATGGATGCCCCCTCCCTGGAAGTGTCCAAGGCCAGGCTGGATGAGGCTTGGAGCAACCTGGTTTAGTGGAAGGTGTCCCTGCCCATGGCAGGGGGGTTGGAACTAGATGGTCTTTAAGGTCCCTCCCAACCCAAACTAGTCTATGATTGTACAACACCATGCAAGAAATCCTGGACTGAGTGCTCAGCGAGATTGAGAATATTCCTTTACCAGAACCACCACAGCAATAGTGTTTGAAGACACCATCCAAGCAACAAACCAGGTTTCCTAGATCCAGCCTGGTGCTTTATCCTCTATACAGCACTTCGCCATTATTTCACTGATGATAAAGTCTTAGTGTGGACAATTCAGTCTGTGGTTACCTACTACAGCATTCCTTGCAGTACCTAATATGTAAGACTCTTAAAACCTGGATCCAACTGTAAGCTCTGCACTGGATAGGACACGACTGCTTTCCGGTGGTAGTATCTGGACATCAGCACGTTCCTACTGAAATTGTCGCTGTCTCATATATCACTGAATTTGTACTGTTTCCCATACAAGTTCTCTTCAAACGTACCTAGAGATCATCTGTGCCATGTATTTAAAGCATTGGAATTTTCCGTGAGAAGCAGCTGCCTGAGCTATTCCAGTTTCAAGCAGGATAAAACATCTGCTTTGTTCTTCTCGGCACACAGCACTCACATAATTAGAGAAGGACATTAAGGGATCACATCCCTTCCATCTCTATACCCCAATGTCTTCCGCATGTAGCCAGGACTTTAGGCTACACCGCAGTTTCCCCCTTCACTTACAGGCCGATTTGTCGCTAGGTACAAATCTGAATTCTGCAATCGGTTCAACATCGTCATCACTGTCTTCCTCTTCCTCCCCTTCAGCCATGGGAGCCTCTTTTGTCTCTGCCTCTTTAGGAAATTGAAAGATTTAAGAGAAACATGTTTATTTTGTCAAAAAAAAAAAAGTCACATTGGTTTATTCTTTGAGGAAGACGTGATCAGATCAGAAACCTGGGCGTAATCTGGGAGAGGCACAAACAAACCTGCTCCCACCCGTGTTTTGATATCGACATCCTCTCAGCACCTCCAGAACACTTGCAACGTGCATGAAAATGTCTCTAGTTGTAATTTTAGGACTTTAGATTTCTGTAATGCTCACACGATGCATCCACATACTTCAGGAAAACTGTCTGATTCTTACTGAAAACAACTATGCTCAAAAAACCCACAATTTGCAACGATTATAATTTACTTGCACAATGCCAGGTATGTATTTTTTTAAGTCACAGGAATTTTACAGATCCTTAATACTACTGACATGAAATCAATTAGCTTCTGGCATGGCTTCTCGCAGAGGACTGGGACATTTACAGATCTCTACTCAATTTCCGATCTTCCTAGCCAGCTAACAAGACAGCAGAGGTAGAAAGTGCACCCAGAGCCATGACAATTGTGGGCATAACCGCGCTTCCTGGCTTCTGTGCACTAAATATGTCCACAAGTAAAACAGTGACATTCTTCCTTTCTGTAAATATAAAAACCACAAAGAAGATGGCTATAGTTCACTGCTTTGTGGCTGGGGTCACTGAATTATTTTCTGCAGAAAAGGAGGAATACAGTTACGGCCGCTCCACCGAGAGTGGCTTTTATCACATACAAAACTGGCACCATCAAGAACACGAAGGAGCCAAGAAGCTGCCAGCCAGCTACCCCAAAAGTGAAGTGTCTGAGGAAGTTACCCAATTCTTTTCCAACTGACACCCGCAGGCACAGCTTGGGACTGCTGAGTCCAGCTCTTTCTTTTCAATGAAGTCAACCTCCAACTGCCTTTTTCTAAAAACGGGGCGAGGAGAAGGCACAACAGAAACTTTCAGAGGAAGAACAAAATGTACCCTGCCCCACTAAGAAAGCCAAAGGAGTGGAGAGGTTTGGGTTTAACACTATTCAGCAGTTAAAATCACGGGCTGACTTGAAAACTAAACAAACCTACTTGCTGCAAAAGACTTTCTGTAGCCAGCGTACATATATTTTACAAAAACTCACAAAACCACCCCACAAAAATCACTCTGTTAAGGATTTATAGGTAAGAACTACCACAGGATATCAAAAGTATTTTCTAACACCATTATTAGAATGAATTAAAAGCTGGAAGCAAAATTTTTCTTCAGACGAGGCTCAGTTCAGTTCAGAATTAAGCAGTTAAAGAAAGACGAACCAAAAGGAGCGCATACCCATTCTCTTAGTACCTGCAGTGATAGCCTATCAGGGAATATTAGTAACACGAGAGAAGGAAATAATGCAGAATATCTTAATAGCTTAAAACATCCCTTCCTCCTCAGCCTTGTCAGTATTTTCAGTATATAAACCACTTAAAGAAAAACTAAGTGTCATATTTTAACAACACTAGTAGGGGAAAGGAGACCTGCTCAACCCTTGTTACTCTTCAGTTGGGACGGCAGTTTACGACACTCTTGTAGTATTAAAAACTCTGCCAGAAGAAAAAAAAACTGAGACATGAAAACCATAGAAAATCTGCATAAACAGAAGAAAACAGAAAGCTTGTTTTTTCTAGGTTGAAGCAAGAAGGGTCAAATGTTGGTTTTGGGGGAAACACTCACAGATCCATTAAGCCTGGTACCACGAGCTATCGTCTGTGTGTTTTTTAAGCTGTGGGAGACAGCGAAGGGAAGCTTGCAGGGTAATGCGAGACAGCAGGATCTCATAAAGCCTGCAGAGCGTAGCCACGCTAACATAAATTCAATAAAGCAAACACGGTACCTAAGCACGAGTCTCAAGGAGACTGCAGAGGAACTAGATTGTTTAAAGTGAGTATAAGAGCAGAGAGAACAGATTCTGAGTGGCTCCAGCTGTACACGGTCACATGCTGAGAGCAGAACACACAGAGGAGACTCCAAACAAGCTATATTCCCAAAATAACTATCCTTCAGGGAAATGAAACCAAAAATACAATTACTTGAATGAAGCATATACAAAATTTACTCTTTTTGAAGAAGAAATCAAGCTGCTGGGGACGGTGTGGGAACACCACGCAACACTCTGGCCCTACCTTCGAATTTCGCATTCACCATGACGTACAAGTGCTCCCATGGGTAGGCGTTCAGGTCCCTGGAGACGGCATGTAAACTTATGGTGGGATAATCCAAGGAGAAGCCAACTCCAGAGTTTTCCAGCCAAGACAAGCGACTAAGAAGAGGAGATTAAAAAAAAGAGGCAGGTTAGAAACGAACAGAGGAATCTACGGTACCTGACTCACACCTGCAGAAAAGCAAACCAACCCTAAAAAAGTGAGTATGTCTGGACAAGGCATTTCCCCATTCTGAGGTAAAACATGATCCTGGACCTGCCCTATCAGCACCTCACAGCAGTGTAACTGATGGTAAAAAACCCTGTTTTTAAAGAACATGAAGCTGAGTGCCCTAAACACACATTTCAGCTTTATCACATTTACACCACACCTTGAATTGCTCTCCCAACTTCGTTGTTGTCTCCTCTGTGCATATCTATCATCCCAAAGATAGCTACGGAGGCTCCTGAGTGTGATTTATAACTCAAACCATTATATGTTCTGTGGTTTTTCAAGATGAAAAGAACACTATGAAAGGAAAGGCACTATCGAAATTTCTGGAGGACTAGGGATCTGATGTGGGTATCACCTCTCTGCAGAAAATCAACCGGTTCTGTGATCAGCAGAGCTCACAAAGCCAGGTTATGGTTGTTCCTCCCTCACAACGGATGTGCTAGAATCTGTGCTTCCCCCCCTTTTCACTCTCATCCATAACCACAGCAAAAGACAGCACAGGTTGTCGTCACTGGGCTGCTTCCTCCTTCACAGCAGAAAGATCAGCGTCTTTCTAGCAGCTGAGAAGTCAACCTCAACCTTCTTCCTGCAGAGGGTGGGGAGGCACTGGGACAGGTTTCCCAGAGAAGCTGTGGATGCCCCATCCCTGGAAGTGTCCAAGGCCAGGCTGGATGACGCTTGGAGCAACCGGGTCTAGTGGAAGGTTTCCCTGCCCATGGCAGGGGGGGTGGAACTAGGCGGTCTTTAAGGTCCTTTCCAACACAAACCATTCCATGATATGATTCTAACTTCAGGTGCCTGTGATCAGTGAGGCCACACAGTGAACAGAAACCCTGAGGGGAGAAGGCAAGACCTTCCTCCCATGCACAGCTCAGTGTTCACAAGTTTTTGTGGAGGGACAAAACCAGTGAAAAGGCCACAGGGGACTCCTCGCCTCAGGAAATCAAGCTGAGAGCAACAGCGAAGTGGGAGCGAGGAATTTCTTCCCTAGCCTCGATCAGTCCATCCTCAATGTTTACAGCTGTTGATGTAGAGTCAGCGCGTGGATCCAAAGCCACACTGTCCTCCCGGGTGCCCAGTTCTCCCCCAGCACGGCACTCCTGCAAACGCTGGCGTTTTCTATTCATTACCAGGCAGCGATGCTGGTAAACGCTCTGTGACGCACTCCAGACGTTGGGAGGAAGCTGGCAGGCTTACACGCATTGCACACAAAAATCTACTGAAAACAAGTTACAAGGAAACTCCATGCCATACGCGTGGGGCGCAGATGCCACGCGAACGGAAGCCCTTGTATCCCCAACCAAATGACTCGGCGAAACAGCAACTGAAATTTCAGAGACATTCCTCTCCAAGAGGAACACCCCATTGCTAACAAGTTCAGGTGGGGTGAAAAAAACCTTCAAATAATACTCATTCTATAAACATTTCAGAGTCTAAAGGCTTTAAAAGACAATTCACTCCTCAGTGCATGTTTTCAGTGAAGTTTTTGTTCTAACAATGCTCTTCCACTGCAGAAATGTTACACTTAGAGTGTTTTCCCAGTTAAGGAAAATGGTGTTGCCTTTATTGATAAGTTGTGTTCATGAACTGTGCAACACAGGAAGGGCTTAACGGAAATAATGAGTTCAAATAACATCCTCAAGAATAACCTATTTCAGCCTAGTAAGAGCAGCCAGGTGACCAGCACGACACCAGAGACTTCACAGAACCAGCAGAAAACCAACGGCCCCGTTTGCTTCCCTGTCAACGGAACAGGGGTGTTTCTGATGCACCAGCCAGCCCCTGGCTGTGCCATTCCCCCTTACGTTAAAACATCATTTCCATAAGGAATAGCAGGACCCCCCCCTCAGCTTGCCCCACACCCCCCCCTTTCAGGGTCTCCCACACACAATGGCACCCCTTGTCCGAGTCCCCACATTCCCCTTCAGGCAGGTCTTCTACTAATCACACAATCAGGGAATGGTTTGGGTTGG